ACCCCTATCTTTGTCCCTAGTGGTGGGAGGCATGGCTGAGATGTTGGCCACCCACATAACCAAGTTGTCAAACAAATACTCCACCCTGTGATACCCAGCATATGCCCTGATTTAATCCAGAGCATCCCTCTCAGTGTCAGAAAAATCGCCGGGCATTAGTACCTCCTTTCTTATCTCAGGCCAGTTCGAACAACCTAATTCCAAGTCATCCCCCATGACCCAAACAAACTTCTCCTTCCAGTCCTTATTCGAGCTAGGGAGGCTGGTGATGAGCTTGTACTTGCTAACCATTTAGAAGTGGGAGTGGGGCTCGATCTGGTTTACCTTGACACTTACTAGACGACCCAGTACTTTCAAAGATCATTTTATTGCCAGCCAATGGTAAATCACCACGAACCCAACTAGGGTCGCAATGGCGTTTGGCTTCATCTTCGCCAGCGACACTCCCAGAGCTGTGAAGACTTGTTGAAGGAATGGATGCAATGGCAATTGCATGTCGAACTCCAAGTTCCTCAGGTACAAAGGAGCTCGATTCGATCCGTGATCATAGAAAGCTTTCGATCTCGTCTGCGCCATCAGTTCATACTCTCAGGGGATATCAAATCTCACATGGAGCGTCCTAATTTGTGTTTGCGTTACTTTGGAGTGAAACTCCGCCAATAAAGCATGTCTATCAACTAGATTAGAAGCCATTGATGATGGATAATTAATCACTAAAGGAGATGGTCAGGAAAGATATCTCGAGTTATCAGAAGGAATTTCAAAGAGCAATAACTACCTCACTCCTAACCCCAACCTTATTTATAGGTAGCAGAATTCGCAACTGCCAGAATCTTAACGGCCGGATTAAAATTTAGCCAACGGCCAAGATTTACTCCTAGAGTCCGAAATGACATCTCTTGGATCAAGGCATAGCCCATTCTGTGACCACTCTATAGCCGACACCTATAAAGCCGATGCTGCCTCAGCTGCCAGCCCAGACTTAGCCAAAGAGACGAAAATGCCCCTCCTTCATTACCATAAAAGGGAAAACTATTCCCAACACGGGGGTAAGCAATTTCTCTGTATTTTTTCTCCATTCCATTGCACGCAAGAACTACTACAGTTCGCCAATTTTTCCCACTTAAGTACATTGCTAACTTGATTGTCGGAGGAACAACGGGGAAATCAGACCCCGCCTTCTTACGAGTTGTTGCACGTGTAAGGAAGAACAGCTCAACTCCAAACCAGATATTCAGAGAAATTAGCGGTCCCTAATTAACCCAATTCCTATCAATTTAATTGAGATTATATAACATCAACACCCACAAAATTCCTAAAACTTTTGATTTTTCATATATGACCTCCCAAGAATATCTCTTGCAATTCAGGACCTTATTATCTGCTCAAGCTTGTTCTTTCCTTATCAATTGTGATGCTCATCTTCTCCTCTTCTCCTAGCTTTTTGTAGGTTTTGTTCCAAAGTTTAGAAGTTTTTTGCGTTGTGTTACTTTTTAGAGTTTTGGGGCTTTATGGGAAATTTTTTTAGGGTTAAGGGAAAAACACAATCCATGGGGTTTTGTGGAAAACGGTCCTAAGTGTTGCGGGTTATTTTTGTAATTTACCCTAATTGAAACTCGGATGTTGTTTAATGTAGATTCTACTAGTGAGATTATAGGTTTTTTAAACCTAGTGTTAAAAGTCGAGAAAAATATATTTGAGAAAAGAATTAAATACATCACCAATTTCTAGAGCTAAAGGGAATGACTAAAATACCATGGTGGTATTCCTACTTGACCCTACTTTTCAATAAGACATTTATTTCTACTTGAGTATCAATATTGTATTTTAACTTATGCTCTGATGACAATAAGATTATTTTTTCACCCCTTGGCCTATCAAAAATATTAAATCCACACTCTCTTTCTCCTTTGACCTCCTCTAGTTAAAAGTTCTTCCACCCCTATACCCAATAAGTGTTAGGGGAGAAATCGGGTCCAATCTAGAATTGATGAGCCTTAAGTTAAATTAGGAACCAATTTTAACCCAAGAATTACAGCACTAGATATAAACTTCAACTCCTATTTTAAGTTCATCACTCTTTGTTATGGTATCTAATGTGGAATTATACTCACATATTAATAACCTCAACAAGTCCCCCTTAAATTTGTGAGTATAGTTCAATCTTCACCTACATTTCAATCTTCCAGGAGACTCACAAACTTCTTACACCACTTCACTTGTGTGGGCTAAACATTTCACTAACTCTTGCACCACTTTACTTGTGGGCTAACCAGATAATGCATTAAGCACATGACTATCAAACATTTATAGGATCTTCCATCATTTCACTTATGGTAGCTAACCAGACTATATCACTCCTATGAGGATCGTGTGTTCTTTCAACACCTTCGGGCTTCACATTGGACTTCATCTTTTTTTAATTATTTGGACCATGGCCTTAACTCTAATATCATTTGTTGGGGAGAGAAATCAGGCTCAATCTAGAGTTGATGGGCCTTAAGTAGAATTAGGGGCCAATTTTAGTTGAAAAGTTATAGCAATTTGATATTGGCCCCAACTCCTATTTTAAACTCATCACTCTTTCTATATCTATCTAATGTGGGGATATACTATTATATTAATAACTTTAAAACTTTGATGACAGAGAACGAAAGAGTGAAGGAGGATCTTACTACGTAAAAGGGGAGATCTAATCCTATCAGAACCTCCCGCACGGTGCGGGAGGTTCTAGGCCACACAAAGTGTAAAACAGAGGGTAGTGTGGCCATGTCACTGCCTCCATGTGTTCAAAACCCCGCACTGTGCGGATTCTGATAGTTTTCTACGGTAAAAGGGTGAAAGAAATTTGGGTTGGAGTTGGTTGAAGGAGAAGAGGGTGTACATTTAATAATTTTAATAGGTCAAGGGGTTGGAAGAAATTTCTCTAGAAAAAAATACTGATTGCCAGAAAAGGACCTTATCGCCATCGGTGCACAAGTTAAAATATTATATTAATGCCGGAGCAGAAATAGATATTTTATTTGAAAATAGGGTCAAGTTAAGATACCAATGTGATATTTTAGCCTAATAGAAGCAGAAGAATTTTCTTTCAAAAAGTGAGTTGCCCTGAAATTCTGTAGTTTCGAAACAAGGCATGAATAAATGACGATTCTCTAAGTTTGGATGATTCTGTTGAGGAGAATTTCGTGGTAGAGATTCATTAGAGTGCTTTCCTTTGTGCCCCTAAAAAAAAGTCATAACTGTGCCTCTGTGTTCATCTGTGCACAGCATAAGTTATTCACAAAGGCTCCCCAACAAATTGACGTATTAGATAGCAAAGGTCCACGAACCGGATACAGACTAAAGGCTAATCTATGTAGTTTGATTGACTCAAAAACTGTAAGTCCTCAATTGATTCAAAAGTCCAAACATGTTTAAATGTGCATTTCCATAGCATTTCTCAATGCGGGATACACTTTCATCCCAATCCTTTGCTAGACAAAGCACGCCTATCGATTGAGTGAATACAAAGACACTCCTTGCAAATCTCCATCTTGTCCTATATTATTTGAATCAAATTTAAGTTCAATAAAGATGGCTAATGAATACGCAGACGAATAGAATCGCATGGCCCGTAGCAGCATGTGCACTGATTAAAGGGAACGACGTTCTGGATCGAGTGTGATACCGTTTGTACATACTGTCATGAGCTAGCCTTCAACTCACTCTAACAAGATTCTAGAAGTCAGCATAATATTCAAGGCCTCATCATTCATAAAATTAATCATGAGCTAAGATGCCAACTTGTGTAGTACTCATAGAGGCCCATGAATCCAAGATATACTTGGTTATTTTATTTAAATCTAATTACTCAAAAGGATAAACCCTTAATTGAGTCATAGATCAAGTTATAATTTCAACTATATACCTACCTAATTGTTTTTTTTTTAGTACGGGACTCGATTTCATCTCGTTCCATAGTTTTGTAGACCCAACACATTTAAACAGATGGACACGGACTCTCAAGAGGACTCAAGCGTCTTAGTCTTTTGACGGACTCCCTATGTATTTGTATGTCTAGTGAGTACTAGTGAAAAGCGTAGAAGAAGTTATGATTCTGTGGTAGGTTGGCTTTGTTAATCTTCGTGCCTTTCGTAGAGGGAAGTTATGTCTTAGCCAAGTCACCTTCTACGTGACTCATCGCTTCTCACCACCCTAGAACATATTCCCCGAGACCAAGTCCAGGATGATGATGATAAAGTTAAATGCCAATAAAGTGCATATTCCCAATGAACCATAATCATTAATTCAATGAAAATAAGAAGCCGCCATATCGGCACTACAAAAAAAAGAAGAAATAAGGGCAATTATTTTCGTCACTTTTAATTCAATTAGAGGCAAATAAATGGAATTATCTGCCTCTAATTACATTTTAATTCAATTAGAGGCAAATAAATGGAATTATCTGCCTCTAATTACATGAGTGGCAAATCTCGTATCCGCACCTAAATGTGGCTCTAATTACATGAGTGGCAAATCTCGTATCCGCACCTAAATGTGGTGTTGCTAATAGTTATTAGGGGCATTATTGCACAAACTTCCGCCCCAAATACTCAATGCGCCACGTCAGCCGGTTTATTTGAAAAACTATTAGAGGCAAATATAACCGCCTCTATTTAACTTCTTAGATGCAGATATAAATGCCCCAAATAGTTTGAATTATAATAAATGTATTTACTTAAGGTACAAATATAATCGCCTCTAATAACTTATTAGATGCAAATGCAAGCCCCAAATAGTTAAAATTAAAATAAATGTATTAATTTAAGATACAAATATAATTGCTTCTAATAAATTAAATTTGATATTAATATTTTAATTTTTAAATAAATCTAAAAAAATAATTAATTTTTAATTCATATAATTAAATTGAAAAACAAAAATAAAATAATTGAAACATGAATAAGTTTGATTAATAAGAAGTCAATCGAATTTGATTACATAATAATGTACCAAAATTGCTTAAAAAGCGTGTGACAAATAGTACTTAACAATAACTTAAATAACCAACAAAGTTGACATTCAACATGAATGTAAAAATATCTAACTTTCATCCCTGCCATTCCTATCATTTGGTGGCATCATCTGCTGCATAAAATCTGAATCATTGAGCATTGTTGTAAACTCTCCAGGTGGGTGTGGCACTGGGTGGTACAAAGGTGGCTGGTATGGATGGGGGTAGTAGAACTGCGAAGATGATGTATACGGATACGGTGGAAGATGCTGATATGGAGGATATGGGTACGATGTCGGAGTGTGCTGGGAAGCTGAGTGTTGTTGGGAAGGAGATCGCGGACGACGAATTTGTTCGGAAGTTGACTGTTGTTGGTATGGAGACCGCTGCTGGGAGTTAGACTGTTGTTGGGAGGAAGATTGTTGATGCGGATGTGCTTTCCCTGAAGTGATCATCTGTTTCAACTCATCCAACTCTTTTTGTTGTCGCTCATACTTTTCCTCAAGTTCTGAATATTGAGATTGCAAATTAGCATATGCTCGCCCAGTACGTGATCGAAGTGATGAAGATGTTGGCTGAGTTTGTGCCACCCAAGGAATCATTTCTGGCGTCCCCCCTCTTCCATAACCACGAACTCTACCACGAGTCTCTAAACCCCTTGCTGCTACATAAGCTTGTTGCCTTAGTTCTGATGTTTCCTCGCCATGGGTTTCAACCAAACTCGTTAATTCCCGTGAGATCTTAACCTGAAAAAAAGAATTCACTTCAAAAGCCAAAATGGACACAATTTAAAGTAAAACAATTTTTTCTAATGTATTACTTGTCTAAATACAAATGATTAAATTTCAAACTCACCGCCAATTCCTCCGATGCATCATCTATCCAACTTTTGTTTTCATCTCGCCGTTTGTGCACTATATAAAACATCTCAATGGGATCGGGTTTGCGACCATGTTTTTTCTCCTATTTGTAAAACACAGAAAAACAATCATAAATTTTATTTAAACGAAGAAGCAACATCTCAAATAAAGGCCTAATTGTTGTAAATAAAGGCCTAATCTCCCATTTACTGTATAATCTTGTTTGCATGGTCTGAAAATCTTCTCTCCTACAAAGAAATGTCGATGGCATCTGCCACAGTGCCACGCATGAAGATGACAGAGCCTTATCCATGTTTTCTTTATGCTTCTCATTCTGTGACCAAAAAGGCCGAGCTATTCCTCTGTTTTCCCCCTTCTAAAAACAAACAAGGTGAAGTTGGTATATATATTTAACAATTAATTTATTGAAGTACACTGTTTCTGGGAGGATTTGAGCCCAAGTCCCAATCATGCATACTTGAATTTTAATTATGAATTGAGATTTAGGCATGATGCAAAGTTATGATCTCTGCATAATGTAATGGATATGATTTCGAAGTGTAGAATTTATTTGAGAATGTATAACAAAGTTATGATCTCTGCATAATGTAATGGATATGATTTCGAAGTGTAGAATTTATTTGAGAATGTATAGAAGTCCTTCAATGGAAAAGCTATTCAATGGATATGATTTCGAAGTGTAGAATTTATTTGAGAATGTATAGAAGTCCTTCAATGGAAAAGCTATTCAAAACTGTTGCATTAATATACAGGAACAAACAGAAATATTCAACACTTACACTTTGACTGCTGTATGATTTAAATTTAGGCTGCATTAATTTTGCTTGAATAAGAAGCTTTCATATAAGTATTATCAGATCAGTCTGGATACTTGCGTGGTATTTGTCAGATATTAGAGACTATGATCAAATACTTGATGAAGTATACCTTGCTATTAATATTCGAAAATGTTTGATATCTTCTGATAAGTATCGAGATACATCACCTTGCTATTCATTTTGATCAGGTTGTTGGTGGGTGCTGGTATGTTCTTGCTATCCAATGCATGACCTCCTGCCTCCAGCAGCAGTGCCAGAAGAGCAATAACTGTGATCTCATGACACTGGCCTGCTACAATAGTTGGTGAATCTCATCTTTTCTTTTCTTTTTTTTAATGAGACTTGTAAGCTAGCTTATTACTGGTTAGCTAGCTTATTACTAGTTTACCAAATTATTAGATATTAAAAAACTAACCAAAAAGCTAGTTTGTCAAAAAAAAAGCTCTCCCAAACACGTTCTGAAAAAAATCACATCAAACTTCTCCCAAACTCTCTTAACTAACCAGTTAATCCTCCTAGTTCAAAAACCAAATGCAACACAATCCAGATCTCCCTCAAACTTTCATCAAATAAATAAATAAACTCCCCTAAACTATTCAACACCACAGAAACGTGGAATTTTTGGATCTGTGAATGCTGTAATTCCCTTCATTTAGATTATATAAAGATTTTATCTCTATTCATTTATATTGGAAATCTCACAGTTTGTACAAGAAATTAGAGTTTGAAAGCATTTTTTAATGCACAAGTGTACTATGTTATGCGCTCATTATGTGCACCAGAATACTTGTTTAGATTATAACTACAAGGGTAACAAACGTATCTGACCCAAATTCAGATTCACAAAGTAATAATTCGGACATGCAAACATCAGCGACAACAGCAGCCAAATAAGAACAAAAAAAAAAGCACACTGTTGTTATTTGTCAAAGGTAGACCGTTGTGCATATTTTGTAGGGAATTTTTTGGTTAAATATCAGAAAACCCTCATAACTTTGGACGATTATCAAGTAACCTCTCATAACTTCCAATATACTAGAACCCCGAATCCCAAACCCCCCCTCTCAGAAAAATAAAATAAAAAAATATAAAATATAAAAAAACTGAAGTTAAGGGGCTATAGAAAAAAACCCTTAACTTTAAGATTTTATAATAATGTGCCACGATGTTTGAGTTAGATAATAATGTTGTATAAGTAAATCCTAACCTTAATTGTAGTTAGGGGTACAAATTATCAGATAACCAGCCTAAAATGATACTTGAAAATTCACTTTAATGTTGATGTTTAATTTCTTATAGTTTTTCATGGCCCCCTTCTGACTGTCACTTTTAATGTTGATCTTTTAAACTCAAATGTTTTTAGAGAAATAGTTCTTTTAGTTTGTTCAGATACTATTTAGACTCGTTCATTCTGTTGAATATGGAACCTCTTGTAAACTGAACCAGACCTTGATGGGAGAATTTGAACTGTTTGACGTGGGATTTTTCTACTGGACATTAATTAAAGATCACCACATAAATTTGTTTCAAGCCTTTGGAAGAGCAGAAAGACTACTAAATTGATCAGGTTGCTAGGATATCTGATGTCAAGTTCCAGTATGCTATGGTAAACGACATAAATGTTGAAGCAAATTAATTGGACTGAAACAAGAGAGAGCTTATTATGAAAGACTTCGCATTTATGGAAAAAGTTCGACAGAAACCTGCAAGGATTGATTCTGAAATTCACAAAGAAAGCATGTTGCGGCTTCAACATGATCGCGCATAAATTCTTTTTGAAGACCTTGTTTTTCTCCACATTTTAAGCAAGAAATTTTATAGCGTACTTTCTCATTCAAATTACTAACTGCAAGCAACGAAATATGTGAAGTTCACTAGTAAATGGGCGTCCTATGAAGTTCAGGTGTTACATAGTTTCACACACGCATATGCACGCACGCGCACACACGCATGCACATGCGCATGCGCGCACACTTACAATTCGGTTATCTGGATTATATGTCAATCATGCATCAGATTTTAAGTTTGTACTTATAATTAAACTCCTATGTCCTCTTATTTCCCAAAGACCTATGATCGAGGTCCCAAAAAACAGTTTCTTGTTCCTTCAATTTAATGCACTAACTTTGTCCCTTTCTTCAGACTTGGGAATAAAGGCCTAATTGTTGTTGTAAGTTATCAACTCTTATTTCACATTGAAACATGCATGGAGAAACGTCAAATAACAACATCACAATCAAAAATGTGTATATTGAGTACCTGATGTCAATGCTCCCCAAACACAAAATAAAACATGACAAATTCTATGAAACAACATCACAATCTAAAGAAAAAAAGAGGTCTCGTGTTAACTTACATAATCAGCCATGTGTCGTGCGAAGCTCTTTGTGCCACCAGTGTGATTCATTTTTTGCCTCTTGCGGCTTTCAATATTCTTCTCACATCTAACCTGATGCGCACAACATAATAAGAAATTATGCCTAATTTGAAATCATAAGTTTATATTATGGATGATAGTACTTACTTTATTTTTTGGATCAGTGTCCCAATAGTTAACCATTGCCCGCCATTGGTCGCGATCTACACGATCATCTCCACACAAAAATCGTTCTGGCAAACCAACATAGGGAGTGTAATACTTAGCTTTTAAACTTGCCTTATAGTTTCTGCACCTATCAGACAATCTTTGCAACATTACAAGTCGGATTTTAGGAATATTGGGAACATCTTCAGGCCGCCAATCTATGGTATCCTGCACTCATACAAGTGTTATACCATTTACAAGTGTTATAATATATGTTTCAATACATATTAAAGCTGAAAGTGTTCAAGAACATCATACATATATTGTTTTCCACACATGATCCATGGTAGTATCATCATGCAACCGCCAATCTATACGCTTGAGGGGAAGAAACCTTGAATTTTTTGCTAGGCTACCTAAGTACCTAGACAGCTGGGCATCCTTGGGGTCAACGCACAATCCATCCTCTGTGAATGCAATAGACTCCTTGCCAGATTTTCCCCACTTTGGCTTGTCATAACCACGCCCTCTTTTCTTTTGCGTTTGGCCTGCATACACTAAAGTTAATAACCATATAAAATAGATAAATAAATATTAAAACTAGGGTTTTGGTCGATATGTCGAGAATTTAGCAAATTTCTCATTCGAGGCATCCGAACGATTCTTCACCTTTCCAACACCTTGTATACGTGAAATGGGGTATGAGTGTATATAACTGGACTTGAATTCGTAGTGTACGTTCATGTGCACATTGACACGGGGGCTTTTCCATTTTTCTCATTTCTGCACAGTAGCAGCAGCTCAAAGAGATGTCGGAAGCAGAATACTCAACTCTACTCATCTAAATAGTAAAAAATCCCAAACACAAAGTATGGCATCAATTATCAAATCTAACTTCACAAGTTTTTCAGTAATTTATTAACTAAACACTTTCAAAAAAAATGCATGAGCAGTAAATCCAATGAATAACAAATAAAACAAGTGCAATTTCAAAAGAATCAATTCTACTAATAATACAATCACAAAATCTACTAATTCAATTCTTCTTCACTGTCCTCACTTTCATCATCTTCGTTTTCCTCATCATCATCCTCAAGCTCTTCCTCATTACCTACAGAATCATTAGCAACTGGTAGTGGTAACTGCTTGTTAACAAAGGTTCCACGGATATCAGTTCTAACTTGTAATTCTTCATCGTCTAGTGCCCGATCATCAAGATTTGGTATGGCATAATAATCATCTGAATTTAATGGGTTGGACATACTTGATGATCCATCATCACTCTCCATGACATCAAAGAAATCCCTCGGGCTTAATTTAACAGCAACATTCCAATCCATGTCTTTTGGATCACAAACATAAAACACTTGTACAGCTTGTGAAGCTGTTATAAATGTATCGTTGTTGTGTGCCAAGTGTTTGAAATTCACTAAGGTGAAACCATAATTATCAAGCTTCTTCCCAGAGTTGCTGACCCAATCACAATCAAATAACACCACTTTACATCCATGACCTTCGGGCTCTCCAGGAAGACCATAATCACATTCGTAAATATTCTTTAAAACTCCATAGTAGTCAACATTACCGGTAATCGGATTGTTGTCCCTCACACTAGAATAACTTGAGGTTTGTGCAGAAACAAAGACTTCACAATTTCTATTTTTATGATTGTCATCAACCGATTTAATTCGCAATCTGCAACCATTAACAATGCAGGTTTTATACTGTTTCACAGTCATATTAGGACCATTAGCAAGTCGACGTAAATCTTCCGTTACGGAAGAATCGCCTTTTGCATGCAAATCATTCACCTGAGGCAATAATTAACAAAGTCAATTATATATTATAAAAAACTCTACAACAAAAAATGATAATTGTATAACACAAAGCTGTAACTTACATGGTTTTGGAACCAAGTAGGAAATTCCTTATTTCTCAAATTCTCTACTTCTTGAACAGTTTTTCGCCGGTGGATTTTGCGTAACTCCGCCATCCTTTTTCTATTAAAGTTAACCATAACAGACAAGTGCAAACTTAAAATTCACTTAATGAACTAGACATACCAAAAAAGGGGCTAAACATCTAATAAAATATCTCACTCTAGAAATGGAGACACTTCGCTGCAATTGAACAAAATGTATTTGCGACATTGCTCCCATACACTTCTTTCAAGATCTACTTGTGTGGCTTTACCCACACAACGACCTGAGTATGCAAAGATTGACAAGCCTTCACGAGGGGTAGAAACATCGGCATTACGACCACGACGAGTACGACGAGTCTCAATGTCTGATAAGTACATGGAGCAAAATGCCAAAGCCTCGTCTGCAAGATATCCTATGCAAATGCTCCCTTCCGGATAATTTTTATTTCGAACATATCGTTTCAATGTTTGTAAATACCTTTTGAGAGGAAAAAAACATTAACTGAGTTATAGAAGGCAAGTAAAATTTAGAAGCAAAAAGTTCAATATTTTTTTTTTGTGTTTTACCTTTCAATGGGATACATCCATCGATATTGGACTGGTCCAGCAATAGCAGCCTCGTGGGCGAGATGAACTAGTAAGTGAACCGTTATATCAAAGAATGAAGGAGGGAGCATTTTCTCCAAATAACATACGGTCAATGCAATTCTATATTCCAAATGCTTGAATGATGCTTCAGATTCTTTCTTACTGCACAACCGTCTAAAAATTGCACTTAACTCAAGCAAAACAAGAGTAAGAGGTCTAGGCAAAACCCTTCGTATCGCAAGCGGGAGTAATTGGTGCATTATAACATGATGATCATGACTCTTCAAACCATGTATTTTTCGATCCCTCACATCAACAGACCTCGCAACATTTGATGAGTATCCATCAGGAACTCGCACCTTCGATAGCACACGACAAAATAGTGTCTTTTCTTCATTAGTCATAGAGAATATTGCAGGAGGTAAGTATGTCCTAGCACCCACACGAATTGGATGGAGACCTTTCCTTATATTGAGAAGTTCTAGGTCAGCACGAGCTTCAAGTCCATCCTTTGTCCTTTTAGAAGTGCCCAACAATGTATACAAAATTTTTTCTGATACGTTCTTCTCAATGTGCATCACATCTAGATTATGACGTATCAAAAGATGCTCCCAGTATGGTAAAGAAAAAAAAATACTTTTCTTTTTCCATGGATTATTAGTACCATTTCTTTGTTCTTTGGAGGCAGTAGAAGTATTTCTTTTCCTTTTCTTTTTCAGTGTAATATCATCAGTTTCAGATTCTGAAGGTGGTGATTTCCCAAAGGTAAAGGTCAGATTAGACATTTGTGCAATACACTGGGCCCCGGTCAACATCTTGGGTGCTCGACCCCTCTCGCATTTGCCATCAAATGAAGCTCCATCATTTCGAAATCTATGCGTTATGGGCAAAAATCTACGATTACCCAAATAACATTGCTTCTTACAATTAGGCAAGCGTTTTGATACTGTTTGATGATGACATTGAGGACATGCAAGCTTCCCCTTCGTACTCCATCCCGAAAGATTCGCATATGCAGGAAAGTCATTTATTGTCCACAACACAGCAGCTTTCATGTTGAATGACTGATTGGAAAACACATCATAAGTGTTGGCGCCAACCTCCTATAACTCCTTTAGCTCATCCATTAAAGGTTGCAAGTACACGTCAATATCATTTCCAGGTGCATTAGGGCCTGGAATAAGTAAAGAAAGAAACAAGAAGGGTTGCTTCATGCACATCCACGGAGGCAGATTATAAACAAAAATTACGATGGGCCAAGTGCAATGATCACTACTCATATGTGCAAAAGGATTGAACCCGTCGCTTGCCAAACCCAATCTTACATTTCGAATTTCAAATGCAAAATTCGGGTACAACGAATCTAAATGCTTCCAAGCTGGAGAATCTGACGGGTGTCTCATAAATCCATCTTTAGGGCATTCGGTCGCATGCCATCTCATATATTCTGCAGTATGTTTTGACATATACAACCTTTTCAACCTCGGTGTTAGTGGAAAATACCGAAGAATCTTAGCTGATACTTTCTTACTAGAATTATCCCCAGTTGAACTATCCCCAACTCTTGTTACTTTTTTCACTTTATATCTTGACGCACCACATGTAGAGCACACGGTTAAGTTTGCTGTCTCTTTCCAAAACAACATGCAGTCGTTAGGACAAGCATCAATCTTCTCATAAGTAAGGCCCAAATCATCAATAATCTTTTTAGCTTGTGAAATAGACCGTGGCAAACAATTTCCCTCAGGCAACATATCTTTAAAAAGCTCTAAAAACATATCAAAAGCCTTATTAGTCACATTTCCCAAACACTTGATCTGGTACAATTTTACGACGGCATCCAATTTTTTATACTTCTTGCATCCTGGATACAACTCCTTATCAGCTTGCTCAAGTAACTTAAAAAATATCTCTGCCTCGGGTGTTCGACCATCAAAAACAGGCTGCCTCGATGACCCTACGTTCTCACCAATATTTGGTTGCACAAATGTCTCATTAAGGAAATCATGCATTTCACCTACATCTCCTCCTTCAGCAACATCCATTTCCATGACATTTGTTGATTCAATGTAAGGCTCACCATGATGTGTCCATCGAGCATTCATGTACAAAGGGTCCATTCCATGCCAAAGAAGATGTCCCACCACAGTCATCTTATCTTCAAAATAACGATTACAACATTCTTTACAAGGACATGTGATCTTATCTTTATGACTAGACTTGGCAAGGGCTTCATCTACAAATAAGTTCAACCCAGCAACATAATCTGGACTTCGACGATCAAAATGTACCCAACTTTTATCCATTATGTAAGTATTTTGCAGAACAGAACACCAAATTGAACCTATTCACACGTGCAAAACCTAATCAGTCAATGGTTAGAACTAAGTAAAAAATGGAAAGAGATAGAGACAAACATCAAACTCCTAATGTGAAATGGAGAATACAACAGAAGTGAAAATAGTCTAGATGGAATAATTTATGGATTTCTCCCTTTGAACTAGCCACCGATGTCTTTCCTTAGATGTTAATGTTGTGATTTTCTGCCTACCAAAGGTACTAGGCCTGATAATTAGTGCTGTCAAATGAGTTGATATTGGGAGTTAAAGCAAGTCTTCGGCACCCTCTAAACATTACTTAAATTTGAAATTGGTGCAGGAAAAGGGAAGTAACTTTCATTTGTTGACGGGTAATTGTTAGAGCATACATAATAATTGACATTTAGTGAATGAACCAGGCTAGATTCCTAGACATGATTGTTGACAATTTATTATTAGGTGGATCACATTCTTACCAGATCCCTGGGGTATTTTAACAGGAGGCTCAACCAAAACGTATAATACAGAGAAATTTTTTATATTTTAACCTTGGCTTCTTACTATTTTAGCAGGTATAAGTATAGATAACAAAGTAAAATTGACCTCATTTGCTTATTTTTATGCTTGTAATCTTACTAACTTCCTATTTAAACAGTCTTCAGATTGCAATTATACGTTAATGCAACATTATTCCATTACCCAGTCTGTTTTTTTGCTTGGACAAATGCTTTCATTCTTCTCCTTATGTTCTATGCCTTTTGCAGGAATAATTAATTAACGACACGAAAGTAATCTAATAAAAAATATAATAAAAAGAAATAAACTCAATAAAAGTCAATAGAATAATCATGATGCTAAAATAACTCTAAAAAAATGGAATTACCTTGAGGGCACCCTTGCAATGGTGGCAACGAAATTATACTGAAAAAAATTATACTAACATTAAAACAATTATACTGAAAAAAATATAAAAAGAAAGATGATCTAAAAACCAATTACACTGAAAAAAAATAGTCTAATCTAAGATTTTTTTTAATTTTCTTAGATAAAAATAAAATTAAATCATCTACAAATCTAAAATTAAATGTTCTACAAATTATACATGGCCGATAGGTACAGAATGAAGCGGCGCGGTTTTTTTTTTCACAAATCTAAAATTAAACGATTCAATCTACGTTCTAATCTACGTTGAAAACCAAATCATCGTTGAAAACCAAATCAGGTTATGAAAACCAAATCATCTACGCGCGAAGAATGAAGGGCCGATAGGTACAGAAAAATAAAAGAAAAAACTTACCGATCGAGAAGAGGTAGGGCCGCTCGGATCTGATGTGTTCTTCAGATGTAGGGCCGCGCGTTTTTTTTTTATTTTTTTGGGGGAGAAAGAGATGGCATGAGTTGGAATATTTGGGGGAGAAAGAGGCAGAAATATTTGCCTCTGGCGGGTTCTTTTTCGGGGGCGAAAACCAAAGCGGCGTGGGTTTTTCTTTTCGGGTAAAAGAAGCGGCGCGGGTTTGGTTATTAGGGTTTAGAAAACAATAGGGGCGGATATATATGCCTCTATTTACTCTAAATTATTTAATTTGGCGCTTTTATTACTTTTAATTCCCGCCAAACTTGTAGGGGTATTATGAAGTGCCCCAAATAATAGTAATAGGCACATATTCAACATCCGCACCTAATTCATAATTAATAGGGGCAAATCACTATTTATGCCCCAAATAGATCGCCCCAAATGCCTCTTTTTTTTGTAGTGCGGCAAAAGCTAAGCAAATAAAATCTTATTAATTTGTCGAAGTCGAAGTGAGAGCAAGAAAACAAGCCCCGTGAATAAAAACCGACAGAGGTCAGAAAAAGTCGATCCCCTCATCCTTTTCATTGAGGGTCTCTCTCTCTCTCTCTCTCTCTCTCAAAAGGAAAAGGACAGCAGGTCCACGCCTCGCCCTTGCCGTTTTCTGTGTTCAATGAACTAATGAACCCGTCTTTAGTCACCATCGCTCTTACGTTCGCCGTCGTCTTGCGTTTGCTTGCGCTCCCATTTGTTTGTTCCGCGAGCATCATTTGTGTGGACTTATCTCAGTTGTTGATTAGTTTAATTGATTTTTAGTATAATATTACCCTAGATCGCATGAATGCAAACAAATCAGTACTGTTTGTGGGAACCCTAATCTCTATATAGCATCTAATAAACAAATAGTTGTAGGATAGAGAATACGAGTCAAAGAACTAACATGTGGGTGGCTTGGCTTGGCGCTACCCGTGACGAAAGTAACCAAACGTCAAGCAAAGTCCACAATTAATGCACATCACGTGGAACGTTGTTTCTACATATAATATACGAGGATTCTAGTTTACGCAGGGTACGAGACATTGGGTTCCTAGAGTGAGCTATGCTTTTTTTTTTTTTTTTTTTTAGTTTACGCAGGGTACGAGACATTGGGTTCCTAGAGTGAGCTATGCTTTTTTTTTTTTTTTTGTCAATGAAAATTTTGTATTCATTTTCTAAGTGAGAAATTATATACATCAAACAAAGTCAGTTAGACTGAAAAACTCAAAATTATGATGTGTGCATTTATAAAACATTCACACATGCACATACACCTGAATTATAGATCTCTGATTCTATCCCTTATGTGAGCTGGGTAATCTTCATTCATGATCTTTGTAAAGACTGAGAACTTGATTGCACTGAACAATTCTTCAATCCGCCTGCTTTTGCTTTGAAAAATCCTTAGATTTCTTTCTTGCCAGACGTAGTACACTGAAGCAGCGAGGACCATCCGCTTCAGATTTTCCCAGAAACCCTTTCTCTTTAGTCTGAAGCTATATCAGTCGATAATACTGTCCCAATCACATGACTTCCATCTGAACTTCAACCAATCCATTACCAAATTCCAAACAGCAGCTGAGAATTGGCATCCAAAAAATAAGTGGTGTCCAGATTCCTGATGACCCGAACACAGCACACATTGATTTGTGTTGAGGATCTTCATCCGACATAATCTATCTTGGGTTAATAATCTTGAATGAGCAGCTAACCATAAGATGAATGAATGTTTTGGATAATGAATTCTATTCCAAACAGTACTAGCCCACTTTTCTTGATGAACAGATTGTGTGAGAAACTTGTAAACAGAGGATAATTGTACCACCTTACTGTCACGCCCCGAAACTGCAGCGGAATATCATAAAATAGGGGGTGCGCGACAACAGCGACCAATGCCTAAGACAAGTCTTATGCACGGGTCAAGCCTGGCACTTCATATCACATAGTTTATTTCAAATATTCATAAACCTGCTAATGATAGAAGTCAGAGCAACTATATATATGATCGGTACTTACAGCCCACAAGCTCACCGTTATAAGCATTAAAACAAAACAATTTGTGCTGAAGGTAACATCAACATGAAGAGGCTCTCCATATAACGTCTCTCAGCCAAAAGTTCAAACCAAAAGTCAGCTAATATGAAGCTACGCCGGATCTGAAAAATTTTAAAAAACAACGGGGTGAGCTAGCGCTCAGTGAGAACATTCCCCACTAGAGTTCCTAGATAACTAATAAAATAGTAATAAGAATAATTCTCAGAAATAACAAATTTCAAGTTTTGCATGAGAAATTTCAAAGATAGTAAAATACGATCCAAATATCGTAATATTGTCATTTTTAAGAAAAATACAACAATTATAATTTTCTTTCTCATGTGCAACGAATAAACAGTGAAATTTCTTGGAATCAAACCCCTTTTGAATCAAGGTAAGCATTAAGAAGGAAAGAACTACTAATTTGTACAAAATCAGAGAATTGTTGTTTTCTCAATTTCACAGTCAATTATCAGAATTTTGAATCAAGGTAAACATTAATAAAGAAAAGAAATTACTAAATTGGGTACAAAACCAGAGGACTATTATTTTCTCAATTTCGCAGTCAATTGTCAAAATCTTAAATCTGATGAGTCGTGTTCTTCGAATTCACGTTCAAATCTCAAAATCATAAATCTATTACTGTCAGGCGATGTGGACTTTAGTGGTAGCTTCTACGGGCTCTAGAGGTGGCTCCCACCGCGTTCATACGGTGTAGCACTTAGCCCCGTGTAACACTTAGCTCCACATTTCCAGCTAGTAATTCATGAAACACAATAATCACCTCATATGTCATACTAAGGCTACGAATTTTAGCCCAGTAGCAAGGGAATGCGTAAACCGCATCAGATAACAGATAATTCCCGGGAATAGAATGCACCTAACACTGCCATAGGCTACTGGCCAAATACAGAGGGGCCAGAACAGATTTCAGAAGGGCCAAATATAGAAGGGCCAAGGCCAATACAGAAGGGCCAAATAAAGGTGCATTCACCATATGGCAGGCAGAACCAATCCATAGTGGACTATTTGAGGGTTTGAAAACATCGAGATTACATGTCAAATGAGTAATACTTTGCATATCAGAATTTACAGATATTTTCAAACGAAGTTCCTCATTTCAGTTAAAACAATTTACAAATATATATTTTTTTCATCAGATACAAAGTCACGAAAAATCTTTGAATCCATTAAACTGTTGAAACACGTTCCAAATACTTCATCAAAAACTTCTAGATAAAACAAAGTCCACAATTCTTTAAAAATTGCACGAGAGCCAAATTTATTTTTCATATTTTATACACAGATCAAATTAGCTTTTCATATATTGTATTAGGCTAACATAGTATTATAGGATAGACCACAACAGAAATAGATCAACCTTTATATACATGAAAAGACATATTATTTATTTATTCTTTTTTTATCACAAGATAAATCAAATACAAAACTCATGCAATTTCATATTATAAAATACTAGTGAGAAATGAACTCACCTCTAGTAGTCACGACTTTCTCAAACTATTATTCTCCCGGATATCAACCAGAACCTATAATATAAGATATATGACTAATTATTAATTCAAAACAAACATATATTATAGGTAAATCAATTCATAATCTAGAGCCTAATAATTTCAAATATAATCAATAATAATCAAATTATGCAGTGCATATGAGTTTGTTGCTATCTCTGGTAATTCATCAAAATTTTATAATTCTCATACACTAGCTTTTGGACTTTTTAGTAATTTATAACAATATAGGGGTTATAGGGAATTTATCAAGTCTGAAATTTTATTGTTTATTCATCAGATTAGACTTGTTTACAACTGAACAAAAAGGCAGGGGCTTAATAAATATTTTCCAGCCCTTTTTCAACCAAACTTATTACTATAATGTTTGTTTCAAAAAGAATTTTAGGGTTCAGGGGCTAAATGTAAATTTTCCTTTCTTTTATCAAAACTCCAGATTCCCGACTTCTTCATCTTCCTCCTCTTTTTTTTTCTTCCGTTTCCCCTTTTCTCCTTTTTTTCGGTTTTTCTTCTCCTCTCCTCTCCTCTCTCTCTCTCTCCTCTCTCTCTCCTCCCTCTCTCCCCTCTCTCCTTTCCATGTCTCGCCAAAACACCACGACCGCGGTAAGGGATTGCCGGCGACTAGGGATGGCTGGTGGTCAGACCTCACCGAACTAGGGTTAGTTATTTTCTTTTCTTTTCTTTTTTTTTCTTCCAATTTCCCTATGTTTTCTCTGAATTCTCTGCTTTTATTCTTCCGTTAAGAGGTGCCGGCCAAACTAGCAAATGTCATTTAGCCACATAAACATTAACGTGGCAATTAATCAGGGGTTAGGGTAAAATCCTGAAAATACCCTTAATTAGTTAATTAATCTGTAATTAAAGAAAAATTTCTCCATTAAATAAGTTTTTAAGGCACTAATTGTTTGGGTTACTACACTCTTCCCTCCTAATAAAAAGTTTCGTCCTCGAAACTTAACATACCTATATCTCGAAACAGCTCCGGATATCTCTCTCGCATAGAATCTTCAGTTTCCCAAGTGGCTTCTCTTTCCGAGTGATTATTCCACTGAACTTTCACATATTTGATTATTCGGTGTCTAAGTACTTGTTCTTTAAAATCCACAATACGTTCTGGTCTTTCCTCATAGGTCAAATCTGGCTTGAGCTCCACTGGAGACAACTCAACGATCTCATTTGGATCTCGGATGAATTTCCGAAGCATGGATATATGAAATACATCATGGACTCCCGACAGTGCTGGTGGTAATGCTAATCTGTACGCCACTGGACCAATACGCTCTAGGATTTCAAAAGGACCAATGAATCTCGGGCTTAACTTCCCTTGGATTCCAAATCTTTTCACTCCTCGAGTAGGTGAAACCTTTAAGAAAACATGATCGCCTACTTGAAATTCTAATTCTCTTCTTCTTTGATCAACATAACTCTTCTGACGACTTTGTGCAGTGCGAAGACGTTCCCGAACTAATTGAATTTTATCAATTGCTTGCTGTACCAATTCTGGTCCAAGAAGTTTCTTTTCTCCAACATCATCCCAATGAATAGGAGACCTGCACTTTTTTTTCCATAAAGAAGTTCATATGATGCCATCTGAATACTAGCTTGGTAGCTGTTATTATATGCAAACTCGGTCAAAGGTAGATAATCTTCCCACGATCCTTTCATCTCCAGAACACAACATCTCAACATATCTTCTAGTGTCTGAATTGTCCGTTCCGATTGGCCATCTGTCTGTGGATGGTAGGCTGAGCTAAAATTTAGTTTAGTCTGCAGAGCTCTGTGCACACTTTTCCAGTATTCTGATGTGAATCTAGGATCACG